ACAAATAGCTCGAGTACTCACAGTGCAAGGTTCTAACAAGAGGGTGGGGGTGGGATTAAATATTAAGAATATAAGTATGAACAAAGCACATTCCCTAGACTTGTGGATCTTAGAGTCTAACAATCACAAAAGGGCAGGAAGAAACAGAGGGTACTAGTGGAATGCTAATTATATATTTTCTTTGATTTGCAAAGTCCCTCCTCATCCCAACTGCTGCCTCCCAAGTCATTATCTAGCCTTACAGATGGCCCTCCAGAGCTTTGGGTGAGAAAAAGCATAGGGACCTTAAAGAAACACCCTGCTAAATCAATTTCAACTTGCAGAGTTTCCCTCCAGGACAAAGCAGAACTGCCCCGTAGGGGTTTCTAAGCTGTCTTCTCATGGGAGCAGACTGCCAGATCTGTCTTCCCCATGGAGTGGCTGTCAAGCTGGTAGTGGTCGAGGAGCTGACCACTGTACCACCAAGACTCCTCACTGGGACCTTGTTGATGTTCTGTGCCTTCAAGTCGACTCCTACTCATAGCAACCCTGTACAGGGTTTTCGAGGAACAATTGATGGGTTTGAACTGCCGACCTTGTGGTTTGCAGTCCAGTGCTGATCCTACAAGTCATATGAGAGTACTAAGTTATTTAAGCATCCACTTCAATGTAAACCAAAACCAGTAACTGATCCTCTAGTAAGCTCCTTCAGAGATGATTTCCTATCAAGAAGTGCCTAAAAAAAATTACTTCCTGGGCTCCCCAGATTGGACCATATCACTCCCCTAGAGATGTCTCAGAAACAAGGTAGAGAAAAGAGACTGAAGGTTGTCAGTAATGGAATGGTACCAAAAGCCATGCTCCCACTCAGTGGGGTGGGGGATAACAGAATCTGAGATTCTGGGTTTAGGGCAAGGTTAAGTTCCCAATGACTCAAAGATAGGAAAGGAATCCTACTAGCTACTATTTGCACGACCATCATTGATAACAGAAAAGGTAACAGCCAATCTGTATGTCATCTTGTGCTCAACTCTATGCTTAAGTATTGTTAAAGAACTGACTTCAAATAATGTTTATACTGAGAATCAAACATTACTATACCAATAGTGGAATAATAATGCCATTTATATCACGTGTTTGTTGTACACATTAACCTATACACTTGGATTTCATCACTTTCTATTGGACAAAATAGTTTAGTGGATTGATTTGCCTTGTTTATTTCTATTACAGCCAATGGAAAAGATAACAGAGTATATTTTTAAAGTATGACATATACACTAAAACTCAGCAGATTTTTTTTTTAACTGCAAAAGCCAAAAATTAAGCAGTTCCCAATTTACAGTTGACATAGCAACCTATCAAATGGTCCTCCCCACAACACATACAGTACTCTGATGTATATTATTGAAACTGACAGCCATTTTGCAAATGTTCTGAAAGGAGTTAACATGGAAATAAAGATGGCATTTTAATCAAGTCATTGTGGTAAGACCAAAAACATTCTGCAAAGTATGTACCTGAAGTTTACTCAACTATAAATTTAAATTCAAATGTCGGCAGTTCGTCTGTCAGTACCTGAAGAAAGATTTCATTCATAGAATGACAAAAGTTGGAGCTGGTACAAGCCCCCCAAATGATAAAATCTAGTCGACTCATTCCCCAAAAGGTGCAGCTCAGAGATTAAATGACTGAAAGAGCTATAGACCCCAAGTCTGTCTCCCAGTGCAGTGCTCTCGTTACCTGTAACTTTTTAATCTCGTAACTCACATCTCCTAATATATGCCTAGTAGAAAATGTCCCTTCAAATATTGTTTTTCCATCCTCCAACTCCATTTTCAGGAAAATTAATGCCCTTAATTAAAATTCTCTTTCTCAACCTAAGTTGTAATGTCATTAGTATTTTATATCACATTATTGTTACCATCATTCTTCTAAAGTTTAGGGGATACAATCATTCCTTAAAACACTAACAAGCCTTACTTCTTTGGAATAGTGTATAGGGGAGGGGGAAAGGTGACCTGTCTAGTCCCACAAGGGAAGTGGTACTGCCCCAACCAGAAAATGCAGCCCTTTTCTCTTCAGCAATGGTGCCATGTTTCCTAAACTAACTTTACGCTCCTTACCAAATGATGTGGGAAAAGGGGCTTCTTTCGTGGCCTTTGTTCTATTTTCTTTCTTTTGTTAAATGAGGAGAATGGATATAATGCACAGTCCTTACACAAAGTTTCACAGTTTCCCAATGTTTTGAATTTTTTTCATGCTTATGATATTTATGAGAAGTCAAACAACCATTCTCTTTCTCCCGTGAAAACAAGTTCTATAAATTAAACCCTAACAGACTGAAATACATTCTTAATTACCTTCGTTCTTGGCTGTTGTTAAGTGCTGTCGAGTCAAGTGGGATTCACAGTGACCCTGTGTAATGCTTCTGAGGTTGTAAACCTTTACAGGAGCAGAAAGCCTCATCTTTCACTCAAAGATCAATGGGTGGGCTCCAACCACCAACTTTGTGGTTAGCAGTTCAGTGCTTATCTTACAGAACCACAGTACTCACTAACAACTGACTCAACAATTGCACCTTATATAGGCCACAGTTTTCTATCTCCTTAAGGTAGATAAGAGAGATTATCATAATAGTTCAAACCACAGAAAGCATTTGTATTTTGTTTTCTATAACTATAAATCACTGAAAACAAAAATTAAGATGTTCACTTTCCTTAATGATAAATGTGACTAGCTCTGATGAACCATCCAAACTCTTAAAAGTCTGAAGCAGAACCCTTCAGAACTTAAAAGAACTCGGGCATAACTCACTGGCAGACACCTCTTAGAGTTCTGAGTTTCAACTGAACACACTCAATGTAATGACTAAAGACAACTTGTATACAGTGAAAACTACTATCAAAGGGAAATTATAGATAAATAGCACTAGAGAACAATGACATACAAGTTTAAATCGAGGCACAATGGCTGAATGACTTTTCAAGACACTATAACAGGTAAAAAGAACCAAACTTAAAATAGTTGAAAAGCAGGGTCAAGTTTCTAAACTGCTTGGAGCCCTGAATTGTCATAATATTTAAAAGCTTAATGTTTCTTACTTGAGACAATTTGTCTCCTGAGGTACTACTCAGAATGAACACACTTGTTGAAATGCAATTAAAGTCATTTTCTCCTGTTTCTTGGATTTCTCCCAAGATCCAACCATGCCCAAGGCAGTATAAATAAAGTCTGCATTTGGTAAGAATCCAAAGTTACTTTATTCATATTTGATTCGTATCTAGTTTCTCCCTTGTTTCTTAAATAATTTTGTAAAAATTTCACTACCAATTTTGAGCAAAATAAATATTAGATGAAGTCTTTTCCTGGGCCTAGATATCCGGTTATGTATAAAAGTCTAGTTCTCTAATGTTTTTGATAATACTTTAAAAAAAAAAGAAAGAAAAAAAAAAAAAGAACTGCATGTCTAAAATGAAAGCTGATGCCCCAGATTCAATGCTTAACTCTACTGATGAGTGAGGCCCTATATAGTCTTACTCATCAGAATCAAGTATTCCATAACTGCATCCAAAACACTCGAAGGAAAAATATAATCTGACAACATAAAGAACAGTCTCCCTATAACTGTTTATTTGAATGTGAATATATTCCAAATCAAAAACTAAAAAATAAAATAAATCAAGTTACAGAGCATGCATAAAATACAAAGTAGCAATTTACAAACAGATAATAGTACCTTCATAACCAATACACTAAAATAATAAAATGGCTACAGAAGAAAACCAAAATGACTGACTACAGCAATGCCATCCGTGCACTCCACACGTCATGAGCACCACTAAAGACAGAAGATTAACTATGAAACAGTAATCTGTGCAAGCCCCCACACACATATTTTTGGGGGTGTCCCACCATCCTGAATAGTATCACTGCAGTTGACACAATTTGCAGAACACTGCAGAGTAAGTGCTTAATATTATCCACAAAAGGTAAAACTAAGTATTAGTGTGCACATTTCTGAATGAGCAACTAGTTGCTTCGCTGATTTCCATAATGTAGTGGAAGAAAATTATTTTAAGTTTGCACAATGCCTAAATGCATTCTATTTAAACTCAAAGTACTATTTCATCTTCCATACTAAAAGAATACATGCCTTTAAAGTGATACGACTTGAGCAGAAATTTACCTCTCATTGTATTCCTTACACAAACTGAAACCAAAGACTTATTAACTGGACTATATTCTAAAACATACTGCAAAACTCAAATATCAGCATTGTCAACATAATTATCCATGCCTGTTTTGGATATGGTGATAAAACTAAGTTTCATTTCATTTACTAGAAGATTTCAAGAAAAAAATTCGTATTTCAAGGTTTACATACTATCAGCATTAAACCAGTTATCGTCCAAGCAATAAAATGTTGCATGATTTGCTGCCAGGAAATTAATTCAATTCAAAGTTGTTGCTGCCTGACTGGCAGCTCAGATGGAATTCCACCAGCCTGCCAGGCATCACTGTGTACTCTATGGCCCCATAACAATACTGCTACTAACACCGTAAGTCTTTTGTGTTTATTAAGATCATTCTTGTTCAGAAAAAAGTGTTCTCTCTCTAACCAACTTTGATGCTTACAAAATCAAAGAACAAATTTTACAGAACAATAAACCTATTAAGGCATTTTAGAAAATGACTTCCAGAATAATGGAGAGATTTCAAGCTCTCAAAATCCTGCTATGTTCATAGGGCAACTCTTACAGTTAGGGAAATACACAGTGCTCTATGGCAAAATAGCAGCTGAGTTTTAAAGTTCTTCTTAGCTTGATTTGATCAAGACCAAAAGGTCTGAGCTTCTTGTGATCAAGTTCTACTATGCCCTATAGTGACAGGTTACCATGATGAAAAGCCAACAATAAGTGAGGAATCCAGACATTCAGTTTATTAAACTAAGGCTAGTGAGACCATAGCATGAAAAAGAACTGCAGTCATTTGGGACAAGTAGATAATTTTATAAAGCTAAAATCAAAGACTTCAGACATGGAAAAATTCATAAGTATGAGGAAGTAATACAACAAAAGTGACCACAAGAATTACAAATATATTTAAATCTCAGACCTGGGAAATGGACTATACACAGCCTTGTAGGGGAGAAGAGAAGCTCCTTATATGTTCTGACAACACTGCACCTTTGGCTTGTTTTCAGTGGTTGGTGGAACATGAATAGGAACCACATTGTTGCTTGGAGACATGTCGTTTTCACGTCTGTCTGACATTTGCTTCTGAGAAACAATGCGATATATCTCTGAAGGAATTAAAAAACAAATACTTAGTGTGAATAAACCCATTAATAATTGGCAAAAAGTAACATATAGGTACATATGCAAGAACGACTGATTATGAGAGTATAAATAGACAACTCATAAATGTATAGTTTTATTTTCAAACAGCCACTAATTAGAGGACTGAGCAACATTTCATTCTGTTATACACAGAGTCAGAACTGACACAATGACATCTCACAAGTGAAGCAAAGGTTCTTCCATTTCAGAAGCTCTCTCTCTCACACACACACACACAAACACACAAGTGTAGTGGATTACAAACTGGGTTGCTAACTGCAAGGTCAGTACTTCAAATCTACCAGTTGCCCCAAGGAAGAAAGATGAGGCTTTCTGTTCCCATAAAGATTGGTGTGGCACTGTAGAATCAGCACTAGACTTCGAACCACAAGGTCGGCAGTTCAAACCCACCAGCTGCTCGTCGGAAACCCTGTGTAGGGTTACTATGAGGCAGAACTGACTTTACAGCACTTAACAACAACAGAGATTCACAGTCTTGAAATCCTATACAGGATCACTATGAGTTACAACCAACCCGGCGGCACAAAATCACCACCATATAGCAACAGGAAAAAATAAAAATTCACTGTACTGCACATCAGGTATTTTTCTAGGATATGAATGGAGAAACACAACTTTATAAACATGCCAAAACTCTAAAGGACTCTTAGAATGGAAGGAAAGCTAGATAATGTGCTTATCGGTGGCATTCTAAACTAAAATTTAGTTACCCCAAACAAGCAAATTAAGATTATGAATTTATACTTATTTTTCTTTCATGATACTTATCAAATCAAATGGCTTAGTATATACTTTTCCCACTATTCATTGACGTATATCTACAATGTAACACGGAACTCCTGGTATGACACTAGGATAAGCACTGGACTGCGAATCACAAGGTTGCCAGTTCAAACCCACCAGCTGCTCCTTGGAAACCCTATACAGAGTTCCTATGAGATGAAACCCAACTTGACAGTATTTAACAACAACAACAACAGAGGTCCTGGGTGTGGCACTGTAGAATAAGCCCCAGACTGCTAACCACAAGGATGGCAATTCAAACATACCAGCCTCTCCTCAGAAACTCCATATAGGTTAGATGTGAATTGGAACCAACTCAACAGTACGTAACAACAGGGGTTCAACAAATAACTAATTGCATGAGTGCTATGTTTTTCATTCCTGTCAGGTTTATTTCCGAGTCACAAGTGATACGGGTGCAGAGCAGAACTGACCCCAAAGGTTTTCAAGGTTGTGACCTTTCAGAAGCATATTACCAGGCCTCTTCTGGAGGCACTTCTAGGTGGGTTTGAACTATCAACCTTTTTTGGTTACTTAAATGTTTGCAAAACACTATTAAACTCACCACAGAAAGTATCTTTATTTAATCCTTCATTTGTTCTTTTACTGATTGACTAAAATCGAGTTCCTTTAAAGAATTTATAATTTAGTTCCTCTGACTAGATAATAAATTCCTTAAAAAGAGAGCATCTACCGTCTTAACTCTGCCAAAAAGCAACCCTCAAAATACAAGGACATTTTTAAAATAAGATAAATTAATACGATATGCCTTTGTGATATACTATGTCCTGGTGTGGTGCTGTAGGATAAGCACAGGACTTGAAGGGCAGTTTGAACCATAAGGTTGGTGGTTCAAACTTACCAGTTGCTCCTCAGAAACCCTGTATCGGATCGTTCTGAATAGGAACCAACTTGATGGTACGTAGCAACAAATGAAGGACATAATATCAGCTATGTATGTATTCTTTTTTTTTTAATTTTTAAAGAAGTTTTTATTGTGAATTAAGTTTACAAGGCAGATTATCAGTTTTACATTCCATAAATCATATTTT